CCGCATGCCCAGAGCAGGCTAGTTTCCAACCCCACTAACAAACCAATTCTGGAAAAGCTCCCAGAGAAATAGGAAGATGGCTAATTTTCTTTAATATAACCTTCTCCTGCACCAACATGGTCCTTACCCCTCAGTGATCAACCCAGGATATTGTCCCGTCAGTGAAATGTTGACTCAAATACTTCAATTATGTATTCCACCTAAGATCATATAAAGAGGTACCCACAGGTTCTGGCAGCCAAGCAGAAAGGAAATGGCTGCGGCAGGCAGGCAGGCCACGTGCTCATGGGGTGACCACGTGATCAAAACGGCTTGTAGCACAGAGCACCCAGCGCACTGTGAGTGACCCGTCTGAACAAGGAAAATCCCAACCACCACCTCCTACCTGGAGCTCTTTGATTTTCTTCTGAAACTGGAGGCCCAGGGTCTGCTCATCTTCCACTTTGCTCTGCAGTTGACTGTATTCAAAATCCTTCCTGTGACGCGAAATGGAGAATGCGTGAAGACAAAATACCAGTAACCTGCAAAATTGAAATCACTCAATAAGTTGAAAAATTGAAACCAGTGGTTTGAGCATATACTTCTTGAGCCTTTCATCCAGCTGTTGCTTGTCATTCTCCAGATCTAATATGGACTCATGAGCAAGCTTCAGGTCTCCCTCCAGCTTCCTTTTGTTCCTTTCCAGGTCTACACGGAGCTTCTTTTCTTGCTCTAAGGAGCTTTCCAGCTGCAAAAGGCATCATTTCCTTATAAGAACAAATGCTTTTATGCCAGAGGGTTTTGGGGGTGGGAGGAGGGGACTCTTTCAACCTTGAAGTTCCAGGACTGCCAACTAGCAGTGTTTACTTACATCATCGACTTGCTGTTCCAGCTTGCTCTTGGTTTTACTCAAAGAATTGACTTTGTCTTCTTCAGCTTGGAGGTCATCCAGGGTCTGCTGGTGGGCTTCTTGGAGGGCCTTCTTCTCCCTGGTTAACTTTGCGATGGTTTCATCCAGCCCAGCAAGCTCCTCGGTCAGGTTTTTAACCTAAGAAGAAGCCACAAGCAACTGTAAGAAGAGATACAGTTTGGTTTGCTATGACAACACTACCCTGGAAAGGTCCACAAAGAGAGTACCTTGTTCTCCGTGGCATGCTTTTCCTTTTCAACCTTGGCCAATGTCAGCTCAAGGTCATCGATGTCTTTCTTCAGTTCTGAACATTCGTCCTCCAGTTTCCTCTTCTTGGCCGTCAGCTCAGCATTGATCTCTTCCTCATCCTCGGCTCTCTCAGTCACCTCCTTGATTTTAGCCTCCAGCTGGAATTTGGCTTTGATCAGTTGATCACACCTTTCCTCAGCATCCAACAAGTTTTCACTTTCCTTTAAAAAAAAAAAAATCATGATTTCCTTTAATGAGATAAGGCGTGTGACATTTCAGTATTTTGTCATATACAAAGTTCTTTATGAAGCATCTGAACCGAAAAGCAAAACGTCCACCAAAATTCTAGTTTACTTAAATAATCGATTCTAGAAGAAAAGTGAAAACAAGATTTCTTAACACATACAGCCTGTACTTGGAGCAGCAGGTCATTTTTCTCTTGTACTAGAGTCACCAGCTTTTCCTCCAGCTCCTTCCTCTTTGCCTCTGACTTGGCCAGTTCATCCTTGGTCTTCTGGAACTCTTCCTTCATGGTGGCCATCTCCTTCTCGGTCTCCGCACTCTTGAGGAGGGGCTTGATCTTGAAGAAGAGCTTCATCCAGGGCCAGTGCTTGACGTTCATGAAGGCGCGGACGTTGTACTGGATGCAGAAGATGGACTCCCTAAAAACAAAGTATCGGTTATTTCTCAAAAAGACACCCCACACACACACACATCCTCAGAAGAGCTCGTGTTTGAATAGAGACACCACTTGCCTTCTCTGTACCATCTTCTGGAATTCCACGCGCATGAGAAACCCTCTGCACACAGCTTGTGTCCGAGTGATCAGTTTGGCCAGGCGGTCATCGCGCATTTCTTCTAGGGTCCCCAGCAAGCCAGCTTTGAAGAACACCTTAGGGGAGAGAAGGACACGTGAGTCCGTGTCTGCAGAGGTCTTTAAGAGACCTAAGGCCAGCAGCTGTGGAACTGAGGCTACCTTGGTGTGTCCGAATTTGTACTGGGTGTGGTCAATATCGATGGAGGCCAACAGCTTTTCACAAGCCTTCTTGCTGTCGATGAACTGTCCCTCTGGGATTGCACTGGCATTCAACACTCGGTATCTGCCGTTGGAGACACAGAAGCAATCAGAGACTATTAGCAAAACCATTAACCTTGGAGACCATCCAGTTCAGCCTCTCTTCCTGTAGATAAGAAAGCCAAGGTCCAGAAAGAGAAGGAAAGCCGCCATAATCACATGCTGGGTCATGGCCTAGAAGCTAGGCCTCCCGATCCCCAGTCCAGGTGTTTTCTGCCACATGCACATCAGATAAGATCCCGAGAAGATGTGGAGGAAGGAAGTGTGTACACGTTGGCCATGTGGAAGGTTATTCATTTGACAGGGAAGGATCCTAACGGTTCTGTTGAAGTGGGGTTTTTTTTTTCCATCACTATTTCTCTCTCTCAAATTCCAGTAATTGCACATTGTATCACGAATCGTGCAGGATCTGTATGACACACCTCTGTTTAAAATCCCCGTAGAGAATGCGGTTGGGGAACCCCTTCCGGCAGATGCGGATGCCCTCCAGCACGCCGTTACAGCGCAGCTGGTGCAGGACGAGGCTGTGCTCCATGGCCCCTGAGGAAAGAAGCAGGAGGTCAGCCCCCACAGCGTTTCCAGAGACCGGCCGGCCGCCGCCCCAAGACCCGCCGCCGTCTCACCTGGGGTTTTGGTTTCGTTGGGAATTATGCAGCGCACAAAGTGAGGGTGCGTCGTTCGTAAATTGGACATCAGCTTGTTCAGGTTTTCCTGGAAGAGAAAGATTAAATTTGACAGCTTACTGTAGGCTTTCACAAACACAGAGAAATATTGTAATGGAAAGTAAGATTCATATCTTAAACTTATTATGGATTCTAAAGAAAGATGGAGCTATTTAACTCTTTCTTTTAATAGTCCTATGGCTAGAGGAGTGGGCAACACACATACACACACACACATACACACACACACACACACACACAAAACCCACAACTTTACATAACAATCTTGTTTCACAGTGATCCAGAAACTAACGAAGTAGAAAGTGCCCCCTGAAATCAAGAGATGTACGTATGCAGCTTCCCGGGTGCATGAGGTCTCCTCCTGTGTCCTTCGGGCAATGAGAAAGTACGTGCGGGGGACCCACTCCCAGGCCCGCCAGCCCAGATACAGAACCAAATGATCCTTAAGTTCCAGTCCTCCCTCTGTCAGACTTCCCTTAACATCCTCGCACCAGCACCTGGCCAGCTGACAGTACCAGGTTAAGGCCACATTGCCATTTTTGAGTAACTGAGTTTAGCATCTCTACATTGCTCATTTTGCAATGACTCAAACCAGCTACAAGCAAATAAACGTGTTTTTCTTACCCTGAAAAGGGCAGAGACAGTTTGGAAGGAAGAGCCCTTCTTCTTGGCAACTTTCTTCTTTCCGCTGTCAACTGGAAGAAATGATATTGGTGTGCTTGTTAGCAGGCCACCAGGGATTTGGGGGTCCTGTGGGCTGAATTGGAAGGAGGAGGCACGACTACAGGGCACTCTGGGGAGTCAGTTACCATCCGTGGTAGCAAAGGTGGCATAGAGATGTGCCAGGAGCCTGTTGGAGGACTTCTGGTACAGCCCCACGACCGTCTCATTCAGGGGGTCCTTGTTCTTCTCCAGCCAGCCCGAGACGCTGTAGTCCACGGTGCCCGCGTAGTGCACCAGCGAGAAGTGGGCCTCGGCCTTGCCTTTGACGACCTTGGGCTTCTGGAAGTTGCTGGACTTGCCCAGGTGCTGGTCGTGCAGCTTGTTCTTGAAGGAGGTGTCTGTGGCCTTGGGGAACATGCACTCCTCCTCCAGGATGGAGAAGATGCCCATGGGCTAGATTAAGGCGAAAGGCAAGTGGGTAAGCAAGAGCTGCGGTGGTGAACGGCAGAGGGTGCGAGGAGGGGCCACTGAGTGGAGAGATAGGGTACCTTCTCGATGAGCTCGATGCAGGCAGCCAGGTCCATCCCGAAGTCGATGAACGTCCACTCGATGCCTTCCTTCTTGTACTCCTCCTGCTCCAGCACGAACATGTGATGGTTGAAAAACTGTTGCAGTTTCTCGTTGGTGAAGTTGATGCACAGCTGCTCCAGGCTGTTGTACTAACACCAAAATACAATGTTCATGTGAAAAGTTAGACTTCTTTCTAAGTCAAAGACCCATCCACCTCCCCCCTCATTGCTCGGCTCCAGCCAGCTCATTTTGCTTTCAGATATGGTCACAGTCTCCAGGGCTGAGATATGGTCTCCTCTTTGGAGTCTCCTCTGCACCTCCGTCTAACAAGTGTGTCTCCCTCTCCTGGATTCTCAGGGTCGGGGTCTCACCTGCGGCAGTCTTATTTTGTAGTTACTCTTCAGTGCGCCTTATATACTTCTCATCTTCATCTACAGACTTTAAGCTTATCTTTTATTTACCTGCATGTCTTCTATCTTGTAGACACCAAATGTACACTTTGATGAATGGCTCTATGCTAGTATTATAGAATATCTATGTAAAATGTTGCATGTTTAGCTTATTATCAAATTCTTTCTTTTCTTGGCTCTCTCTAAGTCAGTATTGCATTTGAGATATTTTTTATTCATTGGACTATGCCTTTAAAATTGTACTTGACACAAATACTCTCTTCTCTTAAAGTAATACAACCCCTCTTAAAATAATGCAAATCCTCTGCACATTCTCTTCTCCTTGATTCACCCTCTGTCTAGTATTCCTACAAGATGTGATGCTATGACTTGCTGGCCACCTCAGCATCTCTCCTAAGGAATCATGAAAACCAGTTCCCTCACACAGGCCACGTAAGAGCACGAACACAAGCAGCACAAACCTCGAAGATCTCAAAGCCAGCGATGTCCAAAACCCCAATGAAATGCTGTCTTGGCAGCTTTGTGTCCAGTTGCTGGTTGATGCGAGTGACCATCCACAGGAACAACTTTTCATAAACGGACTTGGAAAGGGCATTCACCGCGTGGTGAACCTGCGGGAAGACCGACCGGTGGATGAGTCTGCCGGTGCAGCCACTGTGTACCTGCATCCCTCCCCCACCCCGAAGTGGCCACCTACCTGATCCACAGTTTGACCTTTGGTCACGTACTCATTCCCCACTTTCACCCTGGGGAAGCACAGGGCTTTCAGGAGGTCGGATGAGTTCAGGCCCATGAGATAGGCAGTCTTGTCAGCCACTGCCAAAAGGATAAAGATGATCAAAGGAAAGCAATGAAGCTTGGCAACGAAGAAAAGATGCTTTGAGAGTCATCCAGATGCTGCAGAGGCGGCTCGGTTTGTCTCAGGGTGTCTTACTTTTCCTATCTCTAAACTGCATGCATGCAGCCACTGGAAGCTAAGCCCCTCAGAAAATGTGGCAGATGGTCTGAAAGGCAGGAGGGGTTCCAGAGAGCCCTGTCACTGCTCATTGCAGCTGAAGATGGGCCATTCTAGCCATTTGGCAAACACGGGTGCTAACAGTGCCTCCAGGCATCTGAGCCCTGGAGAGATTCAAACAGCCTCAGTCGAACACCCACCAACCTTGGCTTATACCAGGCATGTCAAACTCAGGGCATGTGGCCCTCCAGCCGTGAGTGTGACAGGCTTGGCTTACACCCTGACTTGGTGACTTTGTACCTTCGGTGCCATCGGGCTCTGCCTGCTCCTCCCGCTGCTTCTGCTTGAACTTCATGTTCCCATAGTGCATCACAGCGCCCGTGAGCTTGTAGAGCCCAGACTTCTCCTCTGCAGTGAAGCCCAGGATGTCAATGGCACTCTGGCGTGGAGAGAACGGCATATCAGCCGGCTGACCCCAGGGGCAAGGACGAGCACCCTACACCTCTCTCTGTTCTACTTACATCCGTGGCCAGCAGCTCCTCTGCGTCGTCAATGCTGGCCACCAGGATCTCGCCCTGGCTGATGAACGGGTAGTCGTAAGGGTTGGTTGTAATCAGCAGCAGCTCTGAAATGAGTAGTTAGAGGAGGTCACATAGATGCAAAGAAAACACCCACCCAATGGGTCTAAGCTCCTGCTCTGGTTTGAAACACCTACTGCTGGAGCCCAGATTGGATTTAGAGTTGGAGATGTCTTAAACAGCCTCTCGGTGCTCAGGCTATGACTTAATATAAAGTATGCAGGGAAGACAGTGCAGCTGGCCCATGCAGTGTAGAGGAAGAACCCAGGGAGAGCGCAGTATTTAAAGTTTCTTGCTCTGCATGGCGCTTAGTAAGTAGGTTCAGAACAGGTAAAAGGGACGCTGGTGGAGTCTGGGAGAGGAGGGCACAGATTGAAAAACTGTGACCTGTTCCCAGGCTTGGGACCAGAAGGCTGAGCAAACACAGCCAAAGGATGTGGACGAGAGAGTGCACAGGCTCCTAGGGTGCAGAACAGAGGGCAGGGACTTTCCACAGGTTGAATACTCATTGATTTTGCACTGGCCTCACAGCATTTGGTGAAAGATGGGCTTCCGTGATCGAACACAAGGGGGCGCGAAATGTCAATTAAATGCTTAGCTATTTAGAAGACCTATAAATCAGCGCTGAATTCAGTAGTGGTTTCATCCCGTTGCTGTCCATTGGATTAATTTTGTTTTGTTTCAAATTGGCACATCACTGTCAATATACCTACATCTCATCTCGAAAGCGGAGTCCCCTATGTATAATATAGATGCGGCTCTACCTGGACCAGGGATGTGAGAGCCAAAATGCCTGAAAGACCGCCCCGCTGGGGACTTGCTCACCTATGAGCTCCGGCTTCTTGTTGGAAAGAATCTGGTAGAAGATGTGGTAGCTTCTCTCAGCCTTCAGCTGGAAAGTAACTCTTGATTTCTCCAGCAGATCTGTGAACACAACACAGCACTGGTTTCCAAGCTGCCCCGCCCCGCTCCCTGACATCGATTCCGAGCACCTACTTACAAGTTTCAATATCTGCGGAGGCCAGCTTTCCCGTGGTGCCGAAATGGATACGGATGAACTTGCCCTGCGAGGGACAGGGAGCCAGCGTTTACCGTGGCTCCAGGCATCCCAGCAGCCTCCTGGGCCAGCTGATAGGAGCCTTACTCCCTATGGCTGGAGACCACATGTCCTCCTCTTCCTCCCTCCTCCTCTTCCCCCTCCTCCTCTTTCCCCTTCCTCCTCTTCCCCCCCCCCCGCCTCCTCTTTTCAGATGATGTGCCTTCCTCCCCATTCCTTTACTCCACGCTGCCTCCAAGCCACCTCACGCGTGCAGCCAACAAGGGAAGAGACTTTTTTTTCTAGATGCAATTCAAACCATATCACTTCCCTCCCTGCAGAATCCTCCAGCAGCTTCCTGCGTGAAATCCAAACTCTTCCTCATGGTCTACAGGTACCTACGTGGCAGGTCTCTCTGTCTCTCCCCTCACCTCATGGGCGCCCCCTGCTCATCTCTCTGCAGCTGCTCCCCTCCCAGTAGGCCCCCTCCTATGTCAGAGTCTTTGTCCGTTTGTTCCTCCTCACCCTGCAGAGCTCAGGGTTCACACACACACACACACACATACACACACACACACACACACACACACACACACACACACACACCACCTGGAGGCCTCCCCTGCGACACCGTCTAAAGGACACCCTTAACCCTATCACAGGCCCTGCTTATTGAGCTTTATACAAATGTGTCATTATCCCAAATCGTCTAGCTGATTTGTTTTGTTCTCTCACTGTCTCTTCCCTCGGATGCAACCTTTATAAGGATGGGACCTTGCTTGTCCCATAAGCCACAGAGAAAACCACAGTGTGTCTGGACTCGGACTCACAAAGCGGGAGGAGTTGTCGTTCCTCACGGTCTTGGCGTTCCCGAAAGCCTCCAGCAGCGGGTTGGCACTGATGATTTGGTCTTCCAGAGTCCCCTAGCACGGGGCAAGGGAGAAGGAACCACAGCACGGCAGTAAGCAATGCTTCCCCGCCCCGTCGCTCCTGCCGGTCTGGTCAGTGTGCCTGGCAGACAGGGCACAGCCATTCCCTCCCTCCCCCTTGCCAATCTGAGGCCGAACCAAATCATCAGCACGTCTCCCTCAGCACACCTTTGCCATGTTGCTCTAGTTAGCTATAGGGAGGGTTTTGACTTGAGGTGCTTTTCATACTGCAACCCTTGATTCTCCAGTCAGTTGGGCTGTCTGATTCACTTCAAACTGTTGTAATATTTTTATTTAGAAAGGGAATACATGCCGCAGTTCTCTCGATAGGGGCTGTGATTCTGCCACCAAAGAAGGAGCTCTCTGCGATGCTCCCAGCGGACCTTTCTCAGAGCCTCACTTTCCAGAACAGTGACCGGGTCTGGCCCTGTACCATCAGCCCTGCCCAGGTCACCTGAGATACCGCTGTCCTTCAGGCTTAACTCCTGGTGCTCTCCTTTCCTGGAGAAGGGGTATTGCCTCGCTTGCCCCTCACCAGGAAGTTAAGACAAAGGGTAGCCTCCCTCATCTCTTCACCTTCATTTTGGAGTCCTTCTTCTTGGCAAGGTCGCCAGTCGCTGCAATTGTTGCAAAGTACTGGATGACCCTCTTGGTGTTCACAGTCTTCCCTGCCCCGGATTCTCCGCTGTTGGGGGAGGGAGGGAGGGAGGGAGAGAGAGATGAGAGAGAGAGAGAGAGAGAGAGAGAGAGAGAGAGAGAGAGAGAGAGAGAGAAGAGAGACAAGTTCTGTTAGAGTAAACAGTCTCTCCAAGATGCCACATGGGACCTGGACATGCTCTGAGAGGCAGAGGCCGGGAAGCCCACAGCCGAGCTGACCCAAGGAGGGTAATGCATGTTCTGAGGCCTCCCACGTATCTTCTCACCCACCCCACGTCCACCTTTCTTTCTCTTTTTTTTTTTAATATATTTTATTGATTTTTTACAGAGAGGAAGAGAGAGGAATAGAGAGTTAGAGACATCGATGAGAGAGAATCATCGATCAGCTGCCTCTTGCACACCCCCTACTGGGGATGTGCCCTCAACCAAGGTACATGCCCTTGACCGGAATCGAACCCGGGACCTTTCAGTCCACAGACCGACGCTCTACCACTGAGCCAAACTGGTTTCAGCCACGTCCACCTTTCACTTGGACTTTGTTTTAAGTGCTTCCCAGTGAACAGAACAGAGCAGGTGGCAGTGGCGCCCCTGCCTTCTGCACTGGGGGGGACAGCAGCCACGGCGACGACACTGCCCTGCGCCCGGACACTTACGTGATCAGGATGGACTGGTTTTCACGATCTGCCAAACGCAAGAATAAAACAGAGTCAGTGGCAATATAAAAAGAGCTCCCCCTTTACCCCATTTCTCAAGCAGTCATAGTTCAATGCACAATTGCTCTGCCCTCCCGCGGTTAGTTTAGCCCCATGTGGGAGCTGGAGAATGAGGCTCAGGAGGTTAAGCCCCTGCTTAACACCAGCCAATGGCTTGTCACCGGGCAGTGGCTTCTGGTTGTATTAGGGTGAACCATATGAGATTGTCAATAATGTTTGCCCCATAGAAATCTTAGTTTCATAGGGCTTAACCAGTACTTGCATTAAATGCACACTTCTCACCAGAGCGTGTAAGGGGCCAAGGGAATTGTCCTCTTTCTGCTCTTTAAGCATCTTTACCCCCCTCTCCTTTGTGCGGAGGTCACAGGCCGAATAGGGCAGGCCCAGGAGCACTGGGTGCAGGCCCAGGAGCAGGGAGTGTAGGCCCAAAGACCACATGGTGCAGGCCCAAGACCACGTGGAACTCCTCGGGAGCCCTGTCCAGCGCCTGTTCGCCACTCCAGGCTTTCTCTCGGAAACCTACCAGTCAGCATGAACTGATAGGCGTTGTCGGAGATGGAGAAGATGTGGGGCGGGGCCTCCTGGCGCTTTTTGCCTCGGTAGCCATCCACCACCTCCGGGTTATACACCGGCAGCCACTTGTAGGGGTTGACGGTGACACAGAAGAGTCCGGAATAGGTCTGTGGGAGGGTAAAATATACATATGCATGTGCATGTATGTGCATGTAAAACCTTTGACTATTAATTTTTCAATTTTTTTATATACAGTAAATTAGTAAAGGAGGAAACGTGTAATTTCTGTTTATAGGTGAGGCCCCTGAGATGCAAGGAGGGGCGTGGCTGGACCGCCCACAGCTGGTGAGTGACAGCTGAGCCCAAAGCCTGTGGTTCCTGCTCCCTGCTGGCTCCTCCTGCTCCCGCCCTCCTTCCTCCGCCCCTCTCTTTCCTGTTCCATTCATCCTCCTCTCTCCTCTTCTAGCTTCTCTCCCCCTTTCCTCTTCGTTCCATTTCCTTTTGTTCCAACAGCTTAGTCAAACACAAATCTCTACAAACCTCATGCCCGCACAGGCTCCCCCATCCCCACCCCCCCAGCCCCGGTGCCCGCACGGACGTAGATCATCCAGGAGGTGTAGCGGTCCTTGAGGTTGTACAGCACGGCCGGCTCGTTCAGGTGCGTCAGCATGGCCATGTCCTCGATGCGGTCGAACTTGGGTGGGTTCATGGCATACACGTCCTCCGGCTTGACCACCAGGGTCTGAAAGGGAAGAGGCGGTGCTCACCCTGGGCTCTGTGGGTGCCCGCTGCAGGCCTGGCTCCTGGAAGAGGCTGCTGAGCCATGGATTTGCCCCAGTGACAGCGAGGGAGACACGGTCTGGGGCAACTGGTGATGGTGCTGCAGCGGGAGGCCTGGTTCTGCCTGCAGGGCTTGGGCTAGCCCTCTGCCAAGGGCTGTGTTGAGGGTGGGACCCCTGTGGGCAGTTGCAGGAACCGCTGGGGGAGCCGAGGAACTCCGGCTCAGGACCCCAGCCGGACCGCACTGCTCAGCAGTGTGGGGCTCATTCCTGTTTACACAGAAAGGCGCGGGTGCCGTCCCCGAGGCGTGGATGGAGGAGGAAGACGGAAGTGGCATTGGAGCAACAGGCTGGCACCCGAGTTACCATGCCCAGAGCTCTCTGAGGGCAGCTGTCCGGCTCCTGAGCGGGGTCTGGCCCTTCACCACCCCCTCACGCTTCACCCCCGCCTCTCACGCTGGGTTAGGGGACCAGGAGGCAGAGCCGTGTCTGTGGTTCCCGGGGAGGAAGAGGCTGGCCTGTGTCCGCAGGCGTCCTGGGCACAGAGCGGCTCCTGCCCCTGCCCTGCCCACCTCCTCTCTCTGAGACCTTTGAACATGACTGTACTCTGGTCCTCTCTGGACAAGGCAGTGGGCACCTGCCTTTTCTACAGAGATCCCCTCCCTCCTGTGCAGCCAGCCCTCTGGGGGATGGAAGGGGAGGCTGCTCTTAGATGGCCATCCTTCACGCTGGCCCATCTTCCCTGCCGCTCCGCCAGCCCAGTCTCTGTTCCACTATCAGCAGCACAGAGCCCCGAGGGAGGGCGCCTGCAGCCCCGAGGAGCACTGTCATGCATTCCTCTGTCACTTGGTCACAGGCCCAACTTGGGTGTAGACACCTAGGACAGCTAGATGCTAGTTCTTTCCCTTTCCTCTTTCTCATTTTATTTTTCTTGTCTTTACCTTTAACTTTCTTGGACCATTCCAGATTCTTCTAAATTCTGGTCTAGAGTCCAGAAATTAGTGACGTCCAGCATTCCTTTGAAAACTCCCCCATGCCTAGGCCTGCGGGCTGCCTGCTCAGGAGACATGGGGCAGCCGCGGTCTCACACTGAGCTGTGATCAGCCAGGGCCCCTCCCCACTCTCCTTACTTCCTGGGTGAGACAGCTGTTGCTAGAAGAATCAGGAGCAAACCTGAGCTACCAAAGGAGAGTATTCCAAATGGGCCTGCCTGCTTTTGGACTCTCACCCGCTCGCCCTCGGAATGCACAGAGCCGGGCCCTCTGACTCGAAGCAACGTAGACACTGACAGAAGCACCTGAACACCCACTGCTCCCGTCAGCCACGTCAGGCCTCCCACCGGCACCAGCATGGGCTGCGCTTTCTCCGAGGAGGCCGGGCAGTGATTGTGAGAGGCCTGGGCACCTGGGCACCTGGGTGGGGCAGGGCCGGGTGGGGCGATGCATGAACCAGGCCTCAGGAGCGGGCAGAGAGCCAGCAGGCCATGTGGGCCTGGACGGGGCTTACCCGGTTGTCCTCGGTCTCCACCGTGACCTTCCCGTCCTGGGTGCTCTTAATTTTCCCCTTGGCATACTCTTCCTTCGCGTCCACCACAAAGCAGTAGGTTTTGGCGTCGAAGGGCTGGTTCTGCGCCTCGATCCTCTCCTTCTCCGACTTGCGGAGGAAGGGAGCGGCCATGCCAAACACTTCCATTTCCGTGTCACTGCTCATGGCGTCAGCTGCAAGGCAAGCCTCCGTGAGCCGCCGCCCCCCAGTGGGGCCCAGGCCTGCCCCCTCTGCTCTACCCTGGCTCCGGACCAGGCAGTGCTCGGGCCCAGGAGCCCCACCCACAAGACTCAGTGCTGGGGACATCAGCGGAACACATGCAGCCCCATCTCCTCCTTCTCTGAGGCTCGGCTCGCTGAAGGAGCTAGAGGTGAGTCCAGCCCGCTTGGACCTCACTTCCTTTGAAATCCGGGTGTTGCCCAGGGAAGCTTTCCAACAAACCCCATAAAAAACAAAGACCAGCCGAAACCGGCTTGGCTCAGTGGATAGAGCGTCGGCCTGAGGACTGAAAGGTCCCTGGTTCGATTCCGGTCAAGGGCATGTATCTTGGTTGCGGGCACATCCCCTTTAGGGGGTGTGCAAGAGGCAGCTGATCGATGATTCTCTCTCATCGATGTTTCTAACTCTCTATCCCTCTCTCTTCCTCTCTGTAAAAAATCAATAAAATATATTTAAAAAACAAAAACAAACAAACAAACAAACAAAAAAAAGCCATTCTTCAAAGAGATCCTGCTCAACAGCTAGGGAGCTTTAGAGCCATTTTGAAGGAAGGTGGCCGCCTACTCCCACCAGGAAAGCGGCGGGGCTCCCTCCAGTGGCAGAGGACAGCAGCTGCACCTGACCTCACATCCTTTGCTAGGTCTAAGTGCTGCCTCTCTGCTCCTCCCCAGCCTCCCGGTCCAGCCTGAGCTCTCAGGGTCCCCGCAGCCAGGGACATGGCCAGAATCCTCACCTGAGAGGCACACACGGGACAATGAGGGACAACGAGGCGCAGCAGCCGTGGAAACCAGACCTGTGGAGAACGCGAGAGAGAAGCTCAGAGCGCCTGGCAGCGTCCAGTCCGGCTTTGAGGGCCGGGTGCCTTCTGACACATGGAGAGCTGGGCAAGGGCCTTTGTGGGAGGTGGACAGGGACTGACAAATTAGGTAAATAGGGAGAAAGGACTAAGGACTTACCCCAGAGACAAGCTGGAGGAGGCAGATGGGACAGGACCCACAAGTAAGCCATTAAGGTTGCAAAAGCCCCCAACTGCCCCCAACCTAAGGTGACCAGATATCCCACTTTTGGCGGGACAGTCCCGATTTTTAACCATTTGTCCCGCGTCCCGCGGTGTTTTCAAAAAGTCCCGCGGGACAAATGGTTAAAAATTGGGACTCTGCCGCCAAAAGCGGGACGTCTGGTCACCTTACCCCGACCTAGATGGCTCTTACCAGCTCACACTGGACCGCCCTTCAGTCTGCAATGCCTCGCATTAGAAGTGGACAATAAAAACAGCATCTCTGACTGAAAGCTGCGGTTCTAGGCCTGGGGCAGGGAGAAATCTCTAAGACCGGCTGGCTGACAGCTGGACAGTGTGGTTGGTCTTGGGAGGACGGGACGCATGGCAGGCACACGCCAGGTGGGGCAGGTGAGGGCACAGGAAGGCACTGCATCCTGTGTCCTCGGCACCACTCAGGCAAAGGGAGACTGTGACCTCACTGGACCAGCCGAGGCCCATGGAGAGGCCAGGGGTCCCGCCCATGATGGGGAGCAGAGGGAAAAGAGGACCTGTCCTTCACATCTAACTATTTCTTAGCAAAGCCAGGCAAGGCCCGGCCCAGCGAGCCCAGCCACGCTGAGGCCAGAGCCATCAGGAGGGGCTGTGACTTACCTTCGCCCACGAGAGCAGCTACGAGGGGCTGCTGCCGGCTGCGCTTTTATAGGCCCCGCCGGCCCCCCGGGCTCATGCCTGCTCTATATTTGGAAAGAGAATGACCACACCACAGGCTGAGAAGCGGCTCCTGCCTCACGTTTTTTTGCCGCTGTCGCCAGGGGAAAGGTATATATAGAAATGAGCAGGATTATGGCCATTCTTCCCACTCCAGAAGGCTGGGAGTTTGAGATGCCTTTTGCTGAACGTGGGGCTGGCGACGTGACGGGCCAGCTGGCTGGGGAGGCCTTGCCCGACCACAGCTCAGGCAGCCCCCAGGCCTCCACGTCAGGGGGAGCCTGCCCGGGGCAGAGCAGTCAGGGACCGGCCTCAGAAACCCCGTCTTACAGGACAACGGGTGAAACTGGACACGTTCACGGCCTCCTGGAGTTTTGAGTGGACTTCTGTCCCAACACAGGGTGGTGGCAGGCCTGTGTGATTATGAAACTTATGCCAGGAACAAGGCAACAACAATAATTCTCGCCCCTCTCCCTCCCTGCTCTGCCCTCCCTTTCTCTTTCACTGCGCCCTTTCCCGTCTCATCGGCAGTGTATTAACGGTCCTTTCTCAAGCACAGTAGGACCATTAATGCTGGGCGCTATCCCACCCGCTAGGATTCCCAGCAACAGCTGCGAAGGCCCTGTTGGTACTGAGATGTATGACCGATTAGGAAAGGCCAGCTGCTGGCCTAGTTGGGGGCTGAGGGACAGGGGTGGCCTGCAGAGACAGGGAGGGCGTGGGGTGTCTAACAAGGGCGGTTGTTTCTAAATCAGGAAAATAAAGCCTCAGGGAAGAGTAAGGGTAGAGTTGAAGCTTTTGCCCATGCCATTCTACTTTTCCTGATCACATCTTTGGGAGTGGCCCGAGGGCAAGCTATGATTGTTACACTGCCTGCTCCCACCCATGCCAAGCCCATATAGGTATGGAGGTGTGGGTCCTCTGATGAAGGGACATTAATGCAACACCCACTGCAGTGGTCGGCAAACCACGGCTCACGAGCCACATGCGCCATGTCTCCCGTCGCCCGACCGACCGACAGCCCCACTTCTTCTAACGCCACTTCTTCAAAATAGACTCGCCCAGGCCGAAAGCCGACTTCTGTGCATGGGCCACAAAGTTTCGATCGCACTGTACGTTGCGTGCCCACTCGTGGTATTTTGTGGAAGAGCCACACTCAAGGGGCCAAAGAGCGTGGTTTGCCAACCACTGACCTACTATGTGCTGGCCCTTATAGAGAGCATTTAAAAAGATACAAAAGGAAGAAGCAGCCTTTATGCTTAATAGTTTATATTATAAAGGAGGAGTCCATTGTTTTTCTGATTTAGGCGACTAAAGTTCAGTGCAGCACACTTACCAGCATTGAGGGCCTGTTGTCCGAAGGCCAGGCAAGGCAAGGTGAGTGGCCGCCAGGGGAAGGTTGCTAACCCCCTCCCCCCGGCTGCCTCGGGGCTGCCGCCTGCGTCTTTGTGCCATTGTCTGGCCATCTCTTTGGGGGGCCTGGCAGTACAGCCGAGGGACAGATAAATGTCACCTGTGGGGCAGGTGTTCTCAAGCCCCGTGGAGCCCAGGGGCAGTGCAAAGGGCCCTGGGCGCATCTCAGGCGGTGAGGGGCGCAGGGCAGATGGAGGTAGGGTTGTGGGGAGGGCCTTTGTGGAGGAGGAAACAGGGTTGGCTTGGATTTGTCCTTCTCAATTATCAGCTTACCCAGGTCTCTATAACCACAGGCATGCCCACTCTCAGAACGGAGGGGCCATATTCCCCATGGGACTGTGTGAGCGCCTGTGAAAGAGCAGATGTCGCTGAAACCGGTTTGGCTCATTGGATAGAGCCTCAGTCTGAGGACTGAGGGATCCCAGGTTCGATTCCGGTCAAGGGCATGTGCATTGGTTGCGGGCACATCCCCGGTGGGGGGTGTGCAGGAGGCAGCTGGTTGATGTTTCTCTCTCATTGATGTTTCTAGCTCTCTTCCCTCTACCTCTCTCTCTGTAAAAGATAAATAAAAAATATATTTTTTTAAAAAGAGCCGATATCATATCTCGGGGCCCGGCACAGGCTCTGAAATGCGGCCAGCCTTCCCCAGCCTCTCCAGCAATCCCTCCTTCTCTCCCCAAACTTCCTGTCCAATCAGAGTGTGCAGATGGGAGGTCCTCGAGTGCACTTGCTGCCCAACCTCCTGCAGATGAGAAAGTGGAGGGTAGGACGCTGCCCCAGGCCATCAAAAAGAGGGTCTGGTTCGGCCTGAAGCTCAGCTCTCCAGAAGAAATCCTGATGCAGAAATGGTCACATAGAAAATGGTTTAAATATATTTTTATTGATTTCAGAGAAGCAGGGAGAGGGAGAGAGAGAGAAACATCAGTGGACACAGAACCACTGCCTTTCCGGTGTCTCTTGAGATGAGAAGAGGGAAGGGACATATATATTTTTTTACAAAAGATTCCATCCAGAGAGGGAGGAATATTAAAGAAGAGAACCACTTGTTGCTTCACAGGTAGGCCTCAGGGGCTCACTGGTCCTCTGTTGGTGCGGGATTCCTCCCTGGATCACCGGGTCAGGTGACTTATGGGTATTATTAGCTGCTTTGGGGGGCCAGGCGGAGCCTTTGTTCGTTCAGCCATCCCCAGCCAGAGCTAATCCCCGCGGCCAGGCGGAGAGCTGCATTTATTTTTGGGTGAGCTGGAAAGAACACGTATTGTCTCAGGAATGCTCACTGGCTCTGGAGGCAATAAGTGGGGGGCCGCTGCACCCCCTCCCCAAGCCCCGCTCTTCCTCCCCAACTGTCCTCTGCACCTGCCACCCCCTGCTCCTCGGCCACTGTCTCCGGAGCATGAAGTCAGCCTTCCGGCCCGGGTGCCTTCCCAGCGACCTCCTGGGAGGGGAACTGAGTGTCTCCGAAACGAGGACCTACTCTGAGCCAAGACCGCTGCCAATGCCCAGAGCCCCAGGTGAAATGGAAGCAGAGGCCTTACCGCCCCTTTAATTCAATTCCACAAATGCCCTTTTCCCCACTTTCTATTATGAAAAAATTCAATGTGCAGGCAAATGCAAAGCACAGTAAGTGATCACCCACTTGGATGTGAACCCCTTGCTGGTTGTCTGGGGGCGGGGAAGGGGAATTCAGGGAATGATGGTCAGGAACTACGAAGTGAGCCACCTGTTTGTAAAGACAATCAGAACAAACTTACTGAAAAGGTCCCACCTCAACCTGCAAGTGAAGGGGAGAGCGGGTGCTAACGGGTGGCCCGTGCGGAGATGACTC